CCCCATCCGTGTCACGTCCACAATGCTGGGTGGAGTTGTATACATTAGTACACACACGACAACATGCATCCGAGTTCGGGCTGCTTACCTCTGAGCAGACGACGACTGCAAGACACCGTCACTATTCCCTCTGGCTGCTATCGAGCTGCCTACAGCTCCGTCCACAAACGCGCTGATCACGACGAGGCCTACGAGAAGAAGCATGGACCAGAAAAGCTTCCTCTGCAAGCCTCCATATATCGCGACTGATGTTTGGCGATTGTGGAATCCTTTATGACCACGCCTTAGTGCTCAAAGTCGCTGCACTGATCTCGATCTCAATCTCTATACAAGAGCCTCGTTCTCGAAGGGCTAGATCGCTGTCTAGCATCTTTGAGCAATGCCACAACATGTTAACTTCGATTCGATTCGCAAGAGGCCCTGCCGCAGCACAACAAAAGAAAACGCTTGGTTTAGATCCGATATCGTGTAGCAAAAAGGTGGAGAACGTTGCTTGATGCGACGCGTGGACGACATAAACCCATCGCAGTCGTTCTCATGCGCGGGCAAGAGGTGTCAGCACGGGTGTTTTTTTCCTGCTTGGGAAGTGTTCCAGCAAAAACGGGGGCTGGAAAGGATCATATCGTGAGCATGCGGCTGACGCTGACTATAAGCAGTACCTGGGGTCGTGTTGCGAAGGCATGTGTAACATGAGAGCATCTCCTTCTTCGTTATGAACTGTGAAACCAAAGCTCGAATCTTCCATCGAATGTGAGTATTGATAGAAGGCTCTGGAGGACTCTCTTTCGTAGACGCGGCTCGATGTGCAAATCCCTAAAATCCTCTCTCGTATTGTCTGTAAACAGCTGGGCTTCTCTCTTTGCATTCTCGAGAAATTTCCCGCTCTTACAGCTCTATACCGTTCAGGCTGCGCGCTCGTCTAGATGTTCCAACATAACGAACAGCCGAAATGACTTGAGGACTTCAGTAAGAATGATCGATCGTGGCAACGACACAGAAAGGAAGACTGCAGAGAAACAATCTGCTGTTACGCCGGATCATGTTGAGAAGAGTCTTTGTTGAAACAAATGAAACACCTGCGAGATACCTCGGAGATTCCTATCAAACCCCTTAACTGATAGCGATTTATTACCGCACCCGCTGGTATATGACGCACGCTTACTAACTTTACCAAAGCTGTAGTGTGAGATCTGTACACTGTCCAACGAGAATGAGGGTGTACTTTGGCATGTGATACCATGACGACACATGGCTCGTAAGCAAAGCCTAAAGACACTGGATGATGTTCGACCTTTGAGGCTCTCGTATGTACCGAGGTGTCTGGTGTCAAAGTTTCGGCGGATCGTTCTCGGAGCAAGGCTGATCGTCACTAAGGCCGAAACGGGTAACGGCGGCCCGTTCAGCTAGTGGGGCGAGAATCGCAACGAACTTCAGGGTGTGACGGAACCATTTCTTTCCCGGCGACCGATCCACACTGTTGAAAACTTCAAGTCTCATATGCAGACTGTCACAACCCTTACCCGAGCATGGTGGAAACGAAGACCAGCACATCGTCTAATTCGCCAGGCTCAACAAGCAAACCCAGTGGAGGACGGCACCGCGTCATTTCGTCATGCTTGACGTGTCGACGCAGGAAGGTCAAGTGTGATCATGTTCATCCAGTCTGTGGTTCCTGTACGCGAGGAAACCATGTGTGTACCTGGACAGATCAGATAGCGGCTTCCACCGCCACTGGAAGAATTTCGAAACCTACAGCCACGAACAACAATGGAAAGATCGGAAAAGGCAGTGACGTGCAAGCTCGCTTAGACAGACTGGAATATCTTTTAGAGAAAGCCGTTGCAGGACAGGGGGCAAAGCCCACGGGATCCGTACGATCCAGTGTTGATTTCGATAGGAAAGAGGCGGAAGCACTAACCCCATCATCGAATAGCCAAACTTCACATGGAGGAGGAATAGCTTCCGATGGCGGAGATGGAACACTGTTGTTGAATGATGGACAGTCTCAATTTGTTTCGTCTTTGCATTTCGCATTGCTCGCTGATGAGGTGAGTGTCGCTTCCCAAAGCCTCGTTTCTTTCGCAGATGAAGCCACAGAGCTGGTATATACAGAACTATTGGTTTTTAAATTCTCAAACCTGGAATATGGCTGATGGAATATTAGATACAAGACATCAAGGCTTTGCTTGGCGACAAAACCGATGAAGAAAGAAAGGAAGTACCACAAAGCAGCCTGGTTGATCTGCTCTCCCTGGGTCGTGCAGGAGCAGGATCAGATCTGGAAAACCTATTGCCCAGCACCCAAGAGCATCGTGATACGCTCCTCGACGTCTATTTCGCAAACGTAGACCCGATGGTTAGGATCACACATAGACCAACAGTGCTCCGCAAGTTTTCCACCTACAACAACGAAGCACATCCTCTCGCATATGCCATCTACTTCTCTGCTATCAACTCGCTACCCCCTAAGGTAGTACACAACAAGTTTGGCGAGACTAAGGAATCGCTTCTCGATCGATTTCAGTTGGGTGTTGAAATTTCGCTGGCCCGGGAAAACTATCTCACGACATCAAGTCTGGAGATCTTCCAGGGTTTCGTACTGTGGTTAACTTGTATTACCAGGGAAGAGGACATGGGTAAGCGCAACCATTTCTCTGTGATGTAATAACGCTTACACGTATAGTAGGCAAAGCGTGGGTTTTGATAGGTATTGCATTTCGCATCGCCCTGAACCAAGGTCTGCACCGAGATCCGTCTTTGTTCCCAACCGGTTCTATGGACGCCTTAACTATCGAACTACGTCGTCGTATGTGGCACCAGCTAGGCCACTTGGAGTTCCGGGCCGCAGAGTGTAAGGGGCAGGAACCGAGCATCACCGAAGACTTCTACACTACGCTATTGCCACGTAATATCGATGATGAAGACCTGGTAGATGGCGCAAGCCCTGGTCCGGCCCCATATAACGAACAAAAGTTCACATCCATGTCGTTTCAACTAGTCAGATTCAACGGCATGCGAGCCCTACGACGCATAATCCAGAGTACTTACCGCCTCGAAAGACGTATGCTCGACTCTGGGCTCCATGGAACATCCCGTCCTGATCCTGCACAAGAGCTTAGAGATCTCTACGAACAGATCAAGGTCATGCTTGACGAAGTTCATGAAGAGAACCAACGAAAATTCCTGCAATATCTAACCCCGGAGGTACCAATGGAGAGGCTGACATTGGGACTGGCTTCGCTTTTGGAGTGGCGCGCTTACCTGCTGTTCTGGCTTAGAATGCCGCGTGCTTATCGTGATGTAGTCTTCTCGGATGAGATTCGCCGGTCGTACGTACCTCTACAGCACAATATCCTACTTCGCAGAACAAGAACAACTGACCATGATAGGATCTTCGAGAAATCAGTCAACTGTGTAGAGACACTAAATGGAGCAGCCGCGGATGTTGACGCCGCTCGCTTTCAATGGCACATTGGTCAGTAATACCAACACTCCTAGACACAAGAGCTAATCCTTGAAGGTGGGATTGCTTCCTTCCAGGCTATCATGCACATCCTATCGGAACTTCGCAACCCTCTCTTCGACGCACCGGACCGGCAACGCGCGCTTAGAGCTCTACAGATGTCTCGAATACTTCGAGAAAACAACAGTGCCAAAGCATGGCAAGCTGTGAAGAACATGATTGACAAGGCTGTATCCGAACATAATCTCCCCCCAAGGAGCACGTCGCAGCCTACGAGCCACTACGTCAATCCACCAATGGTGCCATCCATATCCGTGCCGATGAACAATGCATCGAGCAGTAACACGAGCGTATATCCGACGATGCAAGCTATTCCAAGCTACGCCTTCCAAAACTCGTCTGCGACCTTTGACCGGCAGCCTATCTCAGGACGTTCTCAACCTCAAGCAATGACGACTGAGCCAGACTTACTGCAATCAATGCAGTCCATCCAGGATCGTGCACCATGCTGGGATGATATAAACCTTAGCAACATTAACAACATCGTAGGCGATGTACAAGCTAACACAGATGTAATCCCCGACTTCGACTTTGTAAGTGAAGCGATACCCTGGGATCATTGAGTGTATCTGGCTAACTAGGCAGGGATTCTGGGGCGACCCTTTCAACTACGAGAACGAGCCTGCTGCAATGCCGTTACAAGACGGCTACTTTCCTCAGTGGCTTGGATGATTCGCAGTGCAGGAGCGGATCAAGCAATACTCACCGTATTCTGAACCACCCCCGAACATCGAGACACGTTGAACGAATACATACGCTACGCAAAGAGCTGAGAAATCAGTATAGCAGTCCTCTCACTTCATACAAGGTGGTACTCGACCGCACAGCAAGAGACGAGAGCCATGTCTACCGTATCCAACCCACGGCCGGCGGAAATGTCGGCGATAAGTCTCTGGTCGACAACGCTGTTGCTATCGTTTTCTGTTTTCGATACTAGCTGCATGGGAACTTGAAGCGCTTTTTCCCACCATTCTTCTTGGTTAAGTACTATGTTTAATATGGCGTTTCTTGGAGACCTACACAGCATGAGGATCGGTGTGATCAGAGGCGTACTGGTTGGCGCGGAACTCATGGCTGATTGTGAATTTGGAGTTTATAGACTGAACATAGAGGATAGCTGTTTTTCTGGATGAGAGAGCTGTAGGGCTGGGCCCTAGGAGGTGAAATGATTGTACACGATTTTGAGAAAGATAAAGCATCACAAGTCAAGAACAATAGCAGCACAAAACGTCTATGTTATACAATTAGCAGGCGCATGAGTCGCTCAATCACACCCACAAGTCCGGTAGACTAGGTATTCCCTATCAAGAAGACAGCTCTCATGCAAGAATCCTTTGCATGAAAACGTTTATAAGGTACGAGAATCCGTCTACTCGTCCTTGACGCCACCGCGGCCAGCACGCTCAGCAGCCTCGATGCTCTTCTTGTCGGTCTTAATCTCGCCACCACCCATAGCACCCATCATACCGCCGGCCGCCTTCCATGGCCTAGCAAGGTCGCCAGTTGCGGGCTGACCAAAGAGGTGGACCTTGACGAGGTTGCCTTCGAAAGCGCCCTTGAGGGGGATGATGGACTGAATGAGGAGCGGGTTGGTGTACTTGAAGTAGAGGTGCATCACACCCATCATGCCGACACCCATCATTTGGGCCTTGAAGAGCTCGCGCAGCTTCTGGAGATCGTAGGCCTTGACTGTGGTAGCGACGAACTTTGGTTCCTCGCCGGAGCCCATCGGAGCGGGCTCGACGTATTTGACGACGGTCATGTCTGCACTGTGTTAGCAGCTGCAACTGCCTGGGGAACCACTAGGCTTTATTTGACGCACCATTCTTCTTGTTGATCTGCGCCTGGACGTAGAGGTAAATACCCGCGATGATCAGGTTGGAGACGATGTAGAGCGCGCGCACGCCATTGAGGACATTCTCGTTGTCGAACGGTATCTTTTTCGAAATTTGCATAAACCCTAGGATAATAACCAGGTTGGAACTGCAATGGAATCAGCCAACTGTCTTCAATAACTCGGGGGTACGTTCGGCGTACATTTGCGGGCTGATCGCCATTGTGATGTTTGAAGCGGATGGTTCGTGAGGAGGACTGAGATTCGCTTTCGCGATCGTCTAACAACAGGCTGGAGATAGAGATGTGGTTGCGCAGAACGTGGGTGAGAGGGTAAGGGAACAAGCGGGCGACTTTTGTGGTGGGCGAGGGTCGTCATTAGCGCGCCGACCCAAGAGGCCAGGTTGTTCCAAGGTTGCCCGCCGCTGGCTAGCCCTAACAGGCATTCACTCTTCTAGTCTTGTCTAATACCTTCTCTGAACACATGGTAGCAGGCGCCACAGAAGGACTCCAACGCGCATCACAAATTATCGAATGTACAGACATCTCGAGCCGAAGCCTTCACTCATTCTTTCCGGCTGTCTCGATTCAGGGTATCTCATCTATAGTACTCCAATATGCATATGCCCTGTCGCAGATCCAACATGGAGCGATAATCTTATGTTCCAATAACGCCGCGCTAATGATTCAAAAAACTCCTCCGCCGATTTCGTAGACACCATGTAGTAGAATAGTGTCGAGGCGATATGCAATGCAAGCAAGTGAACAACAAAACTGGGGACGGACCTTCCCCCGTATACACAAGTCCTGACTCCCTCACATCACCAGGCATTCGCGATCCGGTCTATCCTTGTGCTTGCCTTTCTCTAGGAAAGCCCCAGGATCTCTACTCTTACTTCTCCGTCTGTCTTTCTTTTCCTTCTTGCTCTTGCTGCGTCCAAGGCCGGATTCTTTCTTGTCTTTGGTCGGAGAATTGTCTTGCTGATCATCCTCTTCGCTCTTCACTCTGTCAATCACAATGGTAGGCTCGTCGTTGGTAGTAGCTTCAGTCGTAACCAGCTTGTCCTTGCTACCGCGTCCCGTTAGCCTCGACAAAGTAAGAGACAAACGGGTCTCGCCGCTTGGACTACCTGGTCGACTTCTGTTGTTCCCAGATAACCATATCCGAGAGCCGCGTCGGGACACGGACAAAAAGCTGCCCTTCTGGTCTTCTGGCGTTGGCGGTTCCGTTCGGCCACGTAAGCTGCCTTCGCCATCCTCTATCGCGGTGCTACTACGCCGATTGCTGGACATGCTGGTTCGACTAGCCGGCTCGTCTGTCGAGTTGGACTCGGTATGTACACCTGCCATGTTGACCTTTTCGTTGTTTGCACCAGCTTCAGCATCCGTTGCTGCTGTAGAATTCAGGGAAGATAACGTTTCCCGTGAAGGATCAACCGACGGTACACCAGACTGCGCCTCTGCATAGGTCGGAGGATCTCCCCGGGAAGCGAGTTCTTCGTCAATGGGCTGTACCTGATAAAAGAGCAGATACGGTGATTCTTCTCGCAAGGCTGTTTTGATATCGACTTCAGTCACTCGTTGAGGTGAAAGATCATCAAAGCGTATCCACTTCTCCTGTTCTTGCTCAGAATCTGATTGTGCAGTGCCTGGGCGTTCGCGAGCGTTGGCGCGGACAAGCGCAATGTAATGCCCAGAATCGACTGACACACCTCGATGGCATACGACAGACTGGAGAACTAGCTTGAAATTGCCGAACAATGGACCCTCTTCTTTCATCCTGTCATCAGAGATGAAGTGAGGCAAGCCAATGTCAAGCGGAATATCAATATAAGTATCAAGGCGTTTCGGAGTGCCATTTGGGGTCATCGTGTATCTCTTCAGGCATATACCGAGCACCGGACGCTTTACTGAGAAATGTGCAGCAACTTGAGCATCTGTCTTCGGCACATTGTCGGTATACCAGGGTATAAGACTGAAGAACTGCCAAGCTGGCATTAGAATCTCCTTCTTAAGCAGAGAAGCTGATCGCGGTCGGCCGCCAGAGCTGTTGTCTAGCATGTCTTGCACATGCTTCTTTTCGTCAAACTTGCTTGTGTTCTGGGACTGGCGTGTGTATCGCTGGCTGAAGATACTATCAGCACGGCGGCGACCCTCCAGATTGGGCCGTGTTGGAGTTACTGGGGTCGTGGGCTCAAAAGTCATCGGCGTCGAGACGATGGGAGTCATTGAGCCTTCCATCTCCATGGTCTCGATATGGATGGTCTCATTCTTCTCGGGATCCTTGTCTACAAATTCGTCGTCTTTGGACTTGACAGAAGCTATCGTATTTTGCCGTTGCAGGTAGCGCTTGACCTCGATTCTGTTATTGAAGTAGGTTTCCAGGCAGTCTTCCAATGTGACAACATCGTCGCCTTCTTGTTCTGGAATGGCGACCTCGAGCAGGCGCTCGTTGACGAACTTGTGGTCATCTTCCTTGTCTTCACGTCCAGTATGGTAAATGTCCATCTTGAGTGTGAGCAGAGGCAGCTCAAGCGCACCGGTGATGAAGGTAAAGGCTTCTGAAGCGTCTTGTTGGCGGACCTGTCCGGCATCTTCCCACCCGCACTTGGCAAGGGAATCTTGGAGGTGCTTTGTCTACGATGCGCATTAGTCATGAACATGCTGGACAACAAGGTATATGGTACCAGATCGACCTTGATGAGCTGTCCACTCCTCAGGAGGTTGACCCATAGGCGCAAGACAGCCGCCAGCTTCTTTCTTGGCTCATCTTCGAAGTTGTCATACAACATGGCTTCAAAGCTGTCGAGACGGGCGAACATGGCAAACAATAATGCGTCGAGGTAGCATGTCACCATATTTCGATTTATGGCGCCCAACATGGTTACATCTGGGTTGTAGTCCTTTAGTTCACCTTCGAGTGACTCATTGGCAAGCACTAGGAGGTCGTATGCTTTGTCGATGTCGTTGGGATGCCAGGCGAGAGCATGTTCCGCCTGTTCCTCGCCCATGCTCGTTATGCCGACGCCTTGTAGGCGTGAAAGGAGCATCTTGACCTACACCAATCAATATGATCCCGCTCAGCCTTGTTTCCTTGCATACCTTCTTCTCGGCTTCAACATTGGCTGGCGGCCTCGGGCCTTCGTTTGTGAATATTTTGTATAGATCGGGCGAAGGGTTGTTGGGTTTAGACTGCACAAGTACATAGTCAGAAGAATGCGATGTTGAGGTTTGATCGGCGCTGGGAGTAAGGGAAGAAACGCGACATGATAGCTTTTGGTGTAGAAATAGAAGACTATCCTCTACCGACGTTCGCGATACAAATGGGAGCTTATGATACAGCGTCTCGATGCCTGCAGACAGCCGCCGTGGACAGCTAGGAGAGTCTTGCGGCGCTGTAGCAACGGCAGGACATAGTAGAGGACTGAGGGAGTTGACGGAAGCGAAAGAGCTTAGGCGTACTTTGGTATTGACGTGCTTGGACGCGCGCTTTTCATGGTGTTTGTCGCGCCGGCTGAGGAACCGCGACATGCCGTTCATGATGGTTGTGGTTGTGGGTGAAGGTAAGACCCATTCAGTGGAGGTCCGCGGCCGCTGGCAGAATGAGGGCAGCCAGGTGGGTAGCGGGGTAGGCAGCGAGCTCGGGGTGTGGTGGTCGAGGAAGGTGCAGACGAGCCCTGGGCTCGGTGGTCGGTGGGGAAGCGAGAGGGTGGTTGTGTGTTTGGTTGGTGGGAGAAGTGGTTTGTCGGTGAAGGGTAGCTATGACGCACAGCTAAGGAGGCAGATGTGAACAATGACCTCAACCCAAGACCGCAAAAGAAAGATACAGGTCCCAGATC